ACTAATCCACTAAACTAATAGATTCACTAACCACTAATCCACTAAACTAACAGTTAGATTCACTAACCACTAATCCACTAAACTAACAGTTAGATTCACTAACCACTAATCCACTAAACTAACAGTTAGATTAACTAACCACTAATCCACTAAACTAACAGATTCACTAACCACTAATCCACTAAACTAACAGTTAGATTAACTAACCACTAATCCACTAAACTAACAGATTCACTAACCACTAATCCACTAAACTAACAGTTAGATTAACTAACCACTAATCCACTAAACAAAAAGCTTTGTAAAAAAGGTTTATAAAAGTTAAAATCTCACCCTGAGAAGAGAGCAGTGAGGATGAAGACGGTGAAGATGAGAAGCAGGAGCGTCTTCATAGTTAATCCTGAAACAAACATCAGAACCAGAACCTTTGGATCTAATGATGTTTTTAGACATAAACTCACTTTATCACAGTTTAAGCTCAATTAAACATGATTTCCCATCATGCACTGGGCCTCTGCAGCTCACCTGTCGGCTCAGGTGACGTCTGACAGCAGCAGCTGTTGGTGTAGAAAGGCGAAGGAGGCGGGACTTCAGAGAGCCCGCCCAACTCCTGCTTTGATTGACAGATCTCTGAGCAAATCTCCTCCTGGATGAGCATCTTTGGAGGCGGAGCATCTTTGTCGGGAGGAGGCGGGRCTTGGGTGGGATCTGCAACAGAAAGCTGATGATTGAAACCGGACCGTGGTGGACCCAGGAGAACCGGGTCCTGATGGGACACCCACCGTACATGAAGCTGCAGTCGTCATCCAGCTCGGCGCCGCTCAGGTCCGACCACAAGGACTCGTCCAGTGGAGACGGGCCCACCTGGCCGCTCTGGGTCCAGTCCAGGTCTGGGTCCTGGTTCTGTCTCGTCCCGAACACACCCCCGAAGACTTTCTGGTCCAGCCAGGACTGGCAGGTCTCTGTGACGCCGCTCAGCAGGCGGGCCAGAGCGCTGCGGGGCCGCCGTCTGCGCCGGAACACTCTGGACCCAGAAAGAAGACAGAATCTGATCCAAYGAGCAGTGATCAGAACCGGGTCAGCAGGTTCTGAAAAACCAGACCTAAAACCATCAGAACGAAGAATAACAGATCACTCTGTCTGATGATGTCATCGTGTTTTTAGCTCAGCTGTTCCCAGATGTGTGCAAACATCCCATAATACCACCGTCTCCTAGCAACCGTAAACGATGACATCACAGCGGGCCCCCCGAGAACAGCTGAGCTCACAGCTGAAGAATTTACAGCTCTGAAACCGGCTCGACCCAAGCTGGAAACCCGGCACTGATTGGCTGCCTCGGAGTTAGAGTTCTGGACCTGATCCGGTTCTCTGGTGGAGCCGGTTTTAAAGAGTCGACAGGTTCCCACCTGCGTCCCCATCAGGGATGGTAAACATCCGCAGCAGAAAGTAGTCCCAACAGAACCCGGCCCTGCTCTCACCTGACCAGGTTCTCCTTGTAGGACACGTTGGTCCTGCAGCCCAGCAGGGACACGTTCCCGTCCTCGTCCAGCGAGAAGCTGTCCTCCGTCACCGCGTAGTACCCGTTGGTGAGGAGGCGGGGCGAGCGGCGGCAGCAGCAGGGACTTCCTGCGTCCGCCGAGGAGTAACAGACGTACGAGGAGTCGGGGGAGAGGAAGGAGGCGTCGAGGCTGTGGAGAGGAGGAGGAGGAGGAGGAGGAGGAGGAGAAGAGTTCATCTCAAACCAAAACATACAGAGAACTCTTTCATTTGTAAAGTTAAAGTTCTTACCTCTGACACTGATTCCTCCTCAGACGCCGTTTAACTGGAGAACCTGAACCAACAAAAGACTTTCAGTCACGTCAAGAAACAAGGTTTTTAAATCTGTTCTGAACTGAGCAGAAACGAGTCGATTCAAGACACAGAGCAGAAACTGAATCGATTCAAGACTCAGAGCAGAAACAGTCGATTCAAGACTCAGAGCAGAAACTGAATCGATTCAAGACTCAGAGCAGAAACAGTCGATTCAAGACTCAGAGCAGAAACAGTCGATTCAAGACTCAGAGCAGAAACAGTCGATTCAAGACTCAGAGCAGAAACGATTCAAGACTTCCTGTCAGACAGGAAGTTGTGACGTCCTGAATATAAACCCAGATGCGGACTCGTGTGAAGGCGACGTACTTGTGACGGCTCCAGAGAAGAAGAGCGCCATGTTGGCCTCGAAGTGTTGACCTGCAGGAGAAACCAGAAACTAAACTCAATTTAAGAAAAACAACAAAGTTTGAAACTTTTTATTTTATTTAAAATCATCAAACAGACTCGAAGTTTGAACTGAAGGGAGTTCAGGTTGGATCTGAGCTTTTTGTTGTTGTTGTTTATAAATTTTAAATTAGTTTATTGGAGACTTTTCTTCATTATTGTTGGTTGTTTACATGTTTTTGTTACTCAGGAACAACAACTTTAAAGTTTTTTTTATCTTTTCCAAAAAGAATACTGGTCTTTTTACACAAACCTTTAAATTTTAAATCATGTTTTTAGATGAGCTGCTGATTTCAATCATGAAACCAAATTTCAGAGTAAAACTTGATGTTTAAAACAAACAAAAACTTTATTTTTCTTTGAGCTCAGTGAATCCCAGCAGATCTGAGCTCCAGCCTGAGAACTGGAGGGGATTAAATAGGTCTGATCCAACGACTCAATCTGAGCCGAGTATTTATAAAAAGTTTATTTTTACCTTTAAACTGCGGCTCGGCTTGGATCGGCTCGGCTTGGATCGGCTCGGCTTGGATCGGCTCGGCTTGGATCGGCTCGGCTCGGCTCGGGGTGTTTTCTGCTGCCGTTCTCACATCCTGCCAGAGCGAAGCTGCAGAAGAAACAAAACATCAAGTCTGAGCTCATGTTTCCTGTTAACCCTTTGTTACCATGAGGAGCTCAGTGCCAAGGGTCTGCATGAAATCAGGTTTTATTCTTATTTTACTGCATTAAATCAGGTTTTATTCATATTTTACTGCATTAAATCAGGTTTTATTCA